TCCGGAGCTCCAGTCAAAGGCTTGGAATGCGCCTGCTGTTTTTCAGCAATGTTTTGGCAAATCGGAAATTTTGGAATTCATTTTCTAGATTTGGTTTGATTTCTTGTCAGCTTGGTTTTGATGGGAAGTTAGTTTTGTCTACTGGCAGTTTGATTCATTGCCTGAGGCTCGGGTGTGCCTTGCATGGATGGCCTCTGTCGTTGAGGAGCTCCACCTGAGTGACCGCTATGCTGGACACGCTGGCCTTGCTGATCTTCGAGAGTGTGTGTGCCTTGTTTGCATGGTTGCTGCTGCCCTGTTATACCCTTTTCGGGATGGGATGATGACTGTGGGGATGATGGTGATGTGATTAATACTTGCTTTTGTGTGTGGGCAATGTGTAGGCAGGTCTATGCTCCTGCAAGAGTGTCCCGCAAGACTGTTCCATGAGTGTCGCACAAGAGTGTCTTACAAGATCCCACAAGAGTGTCTTACAAGAGTGTCCACAAGAGTGTCCTACAAGAGTGTCCCAAAAGAGTGTCTTACAAGAGTGTCCCACAAGAGTGTCCTACAAGAGTGTCCCACAAGAGTGTCTTACAAGAGTGTCCCACAAGAGTGTCCTACAAGAGTGTCCCACAAGAGTGTCTACAAGAGTGTCTACAAGAGTGTCCTACAAGAGTGTCCCACAAGAGTCCCCCACAAGAGTGTCTCTCAAGAGTGTCCTACAAGAGTGTTCACACCTCTGATGTGGCCATGATATCCACAATCACTTTGCTGATTCCTGGACTGTCGAGATTCTTTTCTTCATATAATAGTCTCTCTCTGGTCTTGTTCTTCAGAGTGAGATGAAGAAGATCCCACCTGTTTCCTGTTCATCTTGTCCATGAACTGGACCTTCAGCACTTGAGCCTTGGCTGTCTCAAAAGTCAATGGCTCATAGACACTTTAAAGTGCCTGCGCAGGACAAAATATCTTGAATGGTCTTCTCCTTGTTGACTTCATGTGTTGGCTTGGGTAGAGTGCCTTACGCAAGTCCCAGAAGGCCCGTCCATGTAGGTCGACATATACTTTGACCTTTCAGCCACTGGCTGCCTTGAAGTGTTCAACGCCCATCGCACACACGCGATCAATGCATCTTGAACAGTAGTGGCTGCCATCAACCGGTGGAGCCCTTGTGATGCATGGTCTGATACGCAGGACCGATCAAAGCCTGCATCGATGTACAGCATGTCTGCGATTCATGCGATATCCCGTGTTTTGCCAGATCCACGAGGGTGGTCTCATAGCAAGGGACTTGCTGTTCTTCGCATAATTGAGCGCAGTCGCAGATGACGTCATCGTACTCGTGCTTGAGCGTTGTCATGGGCCTTGAAGGGCGTCATCCAATTTGGATCCATCTTCTGCTGGAAGGATGGCCGCACAGGCTTATACTCATCTGAGAAGATCCGATCTGGCAAGCTTGTTGCCTCTCAAAAATGCCTCCTCATTGAGGCCTCTAATGAAGCTTAAGTCCAACACCGGTCCCCCGACCCCAGCCATCCACGTCCGCAGGCCTAACACCTGTGCCTCATCTCATCCCTTAAAAAGCTTTGCTCGAGGTGCTCCATGGCAGCATTCCATCAGACCTTGGAAGATGAGGGCCGCTACTTGTCACTGGAAACGGTGAGGCTCTTGCAGAGCCAGCTGGTGGCTGGGTTTGTCATGCTGTGCAACATTTTATTTCAGTGGGCTGGGGAGATATGGGTGGGTCAAAATTAATCCCACCTTAAGTGTATGCATATGCCAAATCCGAACTGTGGACATGGCTTCGAGGACAGGTGCACCACGGCATATGTGAAGTTGGCTGTGGCAGCAGTGCAGCAGCAGCTGTTGCTCTGGCCAGCAAGGCCAAAATGGCATGCCACTAGTACATGCTTAGCTATCACTCCCTATCGCTCCAAATACCTCTTCATCGACTCCATCGACCCTCCAAACCTACCCGAAACATTCTCGGAAGGTATTTGGGCCGCTAGGGCGTTTATTTTGGTCCTGAGCTAATGATCCCCTCAATTCCACATGGGGCGCCATACATGCATGTGTTCTAGAACTGGTGTGCCCTGCATGTTCGGGCTGAGGGGCTTCATGAGATGCAAAGACAACAGGCTGTGGACCGTTCCATTGGCTGAGATGCAAGGTGTCTTTTTGTGTTTTTCTTGAGGGACCCTGATCACTCGCTGAGAGGGTGTTTGGGTTGAGAGACCCTCGTGAGATGATCCTGCGGCCGAGACACCCCGGTAGTTATGGTGTTCTAGTGGCTGAGCAAGCCATCACACCAAGGATTGAACTGCAGGAAGTTCCACAGTTTCCACACAGAGGACTTCATTGGCAGGATCAAGAAATGTTGCGCTGTTTCATCTCAAATTAGCATGGAACGCATTGCGTTGGAACGTTGGTACACGGGGCTGCTTGTCAAATTATTGTGCACTCTTTGGCCTTGTTCCCCAACCAGTAAGGTCAGACTATTTTTCGAACCTTTCAGCTGCCCTCCTCCTTTGGCCACCCAGGCTCACCAACAAACGCGAAGCAGATGTGTTCTGAGGTTCCACACGCTGGAAAAAGCTTGTGGATCAGTGCGGGCCGGTGGGAGAGCTGGTCAGGATGGGTATGGATATGGGCGGTGATGGTTCATATTGGTTCATGAAAGGCTCAAACCATGCAATCTAGCAACAAAGATGAGGCTAGTGGGCATGTGATGGCATGTGGTCATATTTGTGTACATCTAAACTTTCTCTCAGAATGGTCTCGGCTGCAGGATCATCTCACAATGGTCTCCCAACCCAAACACCCTCTCAGCGAGTGATCGGGATCCCATGGGATTATTCAGATCTCTACATTTTGTTAAGGCTGTCCAAACGACTCATTCAGGATAATTGTTTATATACACGAAAACTGCTATAATCAAATATTATAATATTGCCAACAATACCACTACCTCAAGCAGAATGACAAGTGCATGTGTGTTTAAGCATGTTTCAAGCTAATAATTTCATTACTTAAAAGGAACATGTTTTGTATTTGCAATTCAATTGAAACCACATGCTTTTGGTTTGGTATATTCCCTTCATATTCATTGTCCTTTTGCTTTCCAGTTTGTTAATCTTACTTGATACATGTTTTACATGTTTTATCCAATCATGCTATGTTGTATTTTCATGACGTCATATCATATCAGTCATATCAGTATATCTAACGTATTTCTATGCAAAACAAGGGAGTTGGGCTGCAGAACTGCACAGTTTGCAAGTTGGATTGAGGCGCGTTCACTTCCTCTGTGAAATCCACAATATATATATATATATACTTGTATGGCAGGTGCTGACAGAAGCACTAGTACTTTAAGTTCAATACGTCTTGGAACACTCCCTCAGGGGGCCCCCCAATCAGCGCCCGCACATATGATAAATGATATACTGTAAATATGTTGTGTATTATATAATGCAAATTGAGTCGTTGGAGGCTGCTTTTAGGTGGTGTCTCATGTTCGACCAACTGTCGGGTCCAGATCACTCTTGCCCTCTGTAGACTGGCAAACGGAGAGAGAATGCGGGTCTAAAGGATCCGGTTTGCATGCAGGGATGTCCAGATCTTTTGTAAAATTACAGTGGTTTCAGAGTAGATGGCACAATCCCGAAAAGGTGGTTTATATGGACCCCCATATAAAGGTAATGAAACCACTGGGTTGAAAGGTGCATGAACTCCAATCCTAAGTAGTTGCTCAGCATGAGTTCCGGGGCTGCGGTGAATGGAGAAAAGAATTCGGGATGCCTACCTGAACCCTCCGTTCACACCTCAGAACACGTACAGTCGAACGTAATTATATATTTGGAGTCTCTTAAAGTTACTTTAAGATCAGTTTCCTATGGCTGGTAGAGATTCAGTCCACCACAAATTAGACAGTCAGACAGGCAAACAGTTGAAAGTTGTACACATAATACTGAATGCCAGTAGCGTGAACGTCATACCGTGATCGGAGGGGTTGCATGCATTGCAGTCGGCAACCAGGCCAAATCAAAAGGTGAAAGTTCTGTATTGATTGCAATCGCTCGTTGAATTTGTTTCCTTACATGAGCTTTGAACTTCAGCGTTGACATACTGCTTAAAATCTGAAACACGCGTTTCCCTTTTCATGTTGTATCAACACTTTGATGGACCTTGAGCAAACAAATATTTGTTTAAACATTTCCAGGGTCGAGCCAACTGCTGATCCTTTCCTGTCCTAGCCGCGATGTCCCCCTTCCAAAGACCTTTAGCGGCCAGCCACACATCCACTGCATTCCCATTGACTTTGCAGTGCCCCAACCGGATTCCGAACGCTCCAAACACGGATCTTCCGCGTTGCATCGAGCTGAAGGATTCCTTCTGGATGAAAATCAGCCTCTGTGGCTGCTTGAGCCATCCCTTCACTGGCGAAACGCCGATTGTCAGCTCGATCGTGCATCGACTTGATTCAATGCTTCGATTTTGGCCACCTCCTCTAAAAGTCTAGAGTGCTTTAGAGATGGTTTTTGAGTGATTTTGGAGAAGAAGTTGCGTTTAGAGAAGATTAGAGTGGTTTAGATAAGTTTTGAGTGATTTAGAGACGTTTAGAGTGCTTTATTTAGAGTAGTTTTAGATAGGTTTAGATAAGCTTAGATAAGCTTAGAGTACATTAGATAGCAAATCTAAAAAATTAGATGAACAGGGTCTGTGGCAACAGGGTCTGCAATGACCTTCCTGAAAGTACCCAAGAAAGTGGGGCATGACCCCATAAAAGCAGGTACTCGTACGCCTATTCCCGGGGTACGAACTGAGACTCCAGGTCTAAAGGACCGCTTTTCTGCTTCGTCGTCTCCCCAGTTGTACCGTTCTTGTGGATGAGTTCGGGTCGTCCGACGCACAGGTTTCGTTGGGTTCACAGCGCAATGGCGGTGAGAACCCGCAGACCATCCCAGACCCGGCAACGGCCACACCTCTTTTTGCGACGCCTCTGGGCGACACCGCAGGTGGTGGCCACCAACGGCGACACTCACCTCGGCGGCGAAGACTTCGACCAACGTGCCCTGCAACGGGGGGTCGGGGCAGGTTGGTTGGTTGCGCACCCCCCGTGTTTGGAAGAAAAGCACAACGAAAAGGAACCGTCAGATGTTTGCCTATTGGGGCCTCGACAATTGGAAGTGGCACAGAAGACAAAACAGCAAAAATTACTTTACTTCGAGTGATCCCCACCATGACGTTTCAATCATTTGACTTGATGCCATAGTGAGGAGCACGTTGCCATGGTCGTGAGTATTGTAGTTCTCGATTTTGCTTGTGGGTCCTCGGGTTGTGTGCTGCGGTTGTGTGTTGTGGTTGTGGTTGTGTGCTGTGTTGTGGTTGTGGTTGTGGTTGTGATTGTGTGTTTGTGGCTGTGTGTTTGTGATTGTGTGTTTGTGGATGTGTCTGCGGTTGTGCTTGTGGCTGTACGTTTGTGGTTGTGTCTTTGTGGTCGTGTTGTTGTGGTTGCGTGTTTGTGGTTGTGTGTTTGTGGTTGTGTGTTTGTGGTTGCGTGTTTGTGGTTGTGGTGTGTTTGTGTGTTGTGGTTGTGTGTTTGTGGTTGTGTTTGTGGTTGTGTGTTTGTGATTGTGTGTTTGTGGTTGTGTGTTTGTGGTTGTGTGTTTGTGGTTGTGTGTTTGTGGTTGTATTTGTGATTGTGTGTTTCTGGTTGTGTTTTTGGTTGTGTGTTTGTGGTTGTGTGTGTGGTTGTGTCTTTGTGGTTGTGTTGTTGTGGTTGTGTGTTTGTGGTTGTGTTTGTGGTTGTGTGTCTATTGTTGTGTGATTGTGGGTGTGCGTTTGTTGTTATGTTTGTGGTTGTGTTTGTGATTGTGTGTTTGTGGTTGTGTCTTTGTGGTTTTGTTGTTGTGGTTGTGTGTCTGTGGTTGAGTGTTTGTGGTTGTGTGTTTGTGGTAGTGTGTCGATTGTTGTGTCTTTGTGGGTGTGTGTTTGTTGTTGTGCTTGTGGTTGTGGTTGTTGTTGTGTTTGTGGTTGTGTTTGTGGCTGTGTGCTTGTGGTTATGTGTTTGTATTTGTGTGTTTGTGGTTGTGTGTTTGTGGTTGTGTTTGTGGTTGTGTGTTTGAAGCATACTATCTGCCATTCAATCTGCCATTCTATCTGGCAATCTATCTGACATACTATCTGGCATACTGTCTGGCATACTATCTGGCATTTTGTTTGGCATACTATCTGTCGTTCTATCTGGCATATCTTCTGGCATTCTATCTGGCATTTTATCTGGCATTCTATCTGGCATATTTTCTGGCATTCTATCTGGCAATGTATCTAGCAATCTATCTGACACACTATTTGGCATACTATCTGGCATATCTTCTTGCAGCATTCTATCTGGCAATCTACCTGGCATTCTATCTGGCATTTTATCTGGCAAACTATCTGGTTGAGGTCCAGCGGTGCAGACTGCGATCGGATTCTTGCGGTTGAGGTCCAGGGGTGCGATCGGATCCTTGCGGTTGAGGTCCAGGGATGCACACTGCGATCGGATCCTTGCGGTTGAGGTCCAGGCGTGCACACTGCGATCGGATCCTTGCGGTTGAGGTCCAGGCATGCACACTGCGATCGGATCCTTGCGGTTGAGGTCCAAGGCCGAGGATGTACACTTTGTGTTTGAGACCATTGGAAAGAAGGTCCGCCTGAAAAGGACTGGGTTCATTGCATCTGATGGCCAGGGAGGACAGTTGAAGTATTTGGGTAGAGTAATCACCCGGAGAAAGGGGGAGAAGAGCGTTCTTGTTTCCTTGCCTGAGGGTTATCTTGATGACACGTTCAGAGATTACAAGTTGCAGTCATCTTCAAAGACTAGATCACCTCCAGATATCACACCAGTGATTGATAAAGAAGGTGGCCAAGAGCTGTCTCAAGAGGCGTACCAGAAGTTTCGTCGAGCCCTTGGTAAGTTGGCATGGATGTCGCAGACTAGGCAAGATCTGAGGAGCTTCATTGCCATCTTGGCAAGTCAGCAGGCTAAGCCCACTGAACATACTGAACATGCTTTGCGTATGATCTTGAGGTTCATGCAGTCGGACATGAGCGTGGTTGTTCGTCTTCCAGCTGAAGGAGAAGTGTTGCAGTCGAAGGTGTTTGATGGACCTCACTTGGTTGCCTTCAGTGACGCCAGCCATGCACCATTGAAGAGCACAGGACGTTGTGGAATCAGCGGGGGAGTGATTTCATATGGTGGAGCTTTGATTAAGACATTGAGTAGACATCAGACTGTTTCGCTTTCATCGATGGAAGCCGAACTGTTCGCCCTTCAAGCCGTTGCCCAAGAGTTGTCATCCATGGGAAAGATTGTTGCTAGGATCTTAGGAAGTTTCAAAGAAATTGACGCAGGACAAACAATTCCAGGTGTGTTGTATTCAGATAGCGAAAGTGCTCTCAAGCTACTTCGCAATTTGGATTTGCCCAGGAAATCTGTCATCTCGAGATCAGAATCTCATGGATCAAAGAAAGGGTTGAACGAAAGCATCTTGTGTTGGAATTCAAGAAAGGAGTGAGCAATCCATCAGACCTTCTGACGAAGTGTTTGGGGAGTGCTGCTTTCGGTTTGCATCGTTCGAGTATTGGATTCGAGATCATGGACTTTCCACTTGCAGGTCTTATGGATCTTGCACGAGGATATGTGTTTGTTGAAGTGTGTTGCAAACAGGATTCAGCTGTCTCTCGGGCATGTAAGAAGCATGGTTTGGTGTATGTTGGGATCACCAGTGATATGGAGAAACCCCAGGGATGCACACTGCGATCCGGAGCTGGCCAGACAAGATCGGCGAAGCAGATTGGCGAGGAAGGAAGCAAGGAGGAAGGAGGAAGGAGGAGGACGAGGAGGCGGCGGAGGCGGAGGCGGAGGCGGAGGCGGAGGCGGAGGAAGAACAGCTGTGATAACATCTAACAACCCTCACCTGGCAGGTGGGGAACAATACAAGTTGCATCTTCAATATCACAAGTCTGTGACCTTTTACAGCTCTAAGTGACCTCAAACCTGGGATGAAAAGGTAACTTTGAAGAACCAGGAATCTGGAAGAATTGTGAAAGCCTGCTGTTTGTGTCCTGGACCAAACTGGGATCGTTCAACAATGTACAGCACCGCACGGAGGCACTGACAAAAACTATGTTTTGGTGTCAACAAGCAGGGCAGACGTCTTTTGGGCATGGCATTTGCAAGATGAGAAATAAGCCCTGCACTTGGATTGTGAACCTCTTAGATATGGGTTGTTGTTAAGCCTACATTAAGGTGTGATGCAGCACTTCATGAAGATCTTCCAGAAGAAGCACGGCAAGGCAGACCGGAGCCAGCATGTTCGGAGAAGCACCCATGACGAACATAGCACCCCTCCCAACTCCATGGCACCGACCTTTTTCAGATCTTCCCACAGGTGATTTGCAGGACATTCGACGCTGATGATTTTTTTTGTGGGATGATGCATTCCAGTCCTTCCACTAGTATCAGTATTCGTATCATGTATATGTTGGTCGAATCTGGTATTGCCACAGGGAGTCCATGGTTATATGTTTGGTCACCGACAATGATGGAACATAATGTTAAATTGTTTTGTTAAACTTATGTTTTTAATGTTACTAAGCCGATGGAGAAATCGAAGCGGCAGGACGATCCGTTGGACCTTGTACGATCCACGGCCACGACGCAATTCGGCAGGACATGAGCAAGGACAAACGTTCCATCCAGAAGCTCCGCCGAGAGGTGGAGAAGACCAAGCGTGCTTTGAGCTCCACCCACCAGGCCGCGCGCGAAAGCACAAGCGGACGGTAGGTCTGGTCGGTGCTTCGGTGGGCCATTGTTGGCCCATAGTTTGGCCCATCTATGCTGAGTCGACCCGCTCATACTTCGGAAAATGGGTACATTGTACAAGTAGCCCGTTTTTGTAGGGTCATGTCCCATTTTTCTAGGGTACTTTGGAAGGTCTAGGTATGCTGGCTTCGCTTGGAAAACTAGTCTTACGGCTATTTCGGGGGATCCAGTTATCGATGGTCGATTCGCCGGTTACGGCGGCTTCACAGCGGTCCTCCCGCCACAGCGTGTCGCGGAGGAGTAGCATGGGGTAGCTGTTGCCATCCTTGGCGGATTGGTCCTGCAGCCACACTCAAAACCGGATTCTCGGTCGGACCAGGTGGACTAGACCAGGTGCCTGCAGCTCGTTGACCTAGTTGTTTGTGTTGTGTTCCAAACCCTGACGTCTTCGGGTCTCCCTCCAGCCCTCTGGGTCGCATCCGGGAGGCTCGACTGGAGATCGAAGCCTTGTACGACGGCACAGACTTCTCCGAGACCTTGACCCGCGCACGCTTCGAGGAGCCACCCCCGGTTGCCTTCGCATACGCGGAACGAGGACCAGGCGGCATGCAGTGACTCCGATTTGGAAACCACCGTTGAGATGCTCAAAGACCTGCCGTACTCAGGACGTTTGGGCTGGGTATACGTATAAGTGAGATTTTTACTGATCTCTGAAGGCGTTTTTTGACAGAGTGCATGTCAAATGTGAACCCAATGGCCACTTGCATGGAGTGGTTGAGTCCCTCCAAGTGGAAACACGACAGATTTTCAGACTTCCCCCATGAACCATTTCTCCTGGTGCCCCTCCAAACCGTAAACCTCACCGACTTCTCATGGATAAAAGCCGCAAAGAAACTTGGACCATTCTGGCGGCAAAATTCCATCAAACGCGGACGGGGGGGGTGGCGAATTGAGGAGCTGAATGCGGACCTCTTCAAGAACACCTTGGGTCCGGTGAAGCAGGCGTGGTATGGCGTGAGTTATTTGGGTTAAGGGGCGGACTTCGTCCGCCGAAGTGGCGCGGAGGTTTGGTCAAAATGATTCAATACTCCCTAGGGCTCCTGGCCCACCTCCTGAGGTTCGATGGTTGGGGTGGGTGCCAGGGGGGGTCTAACCACCTCCTGAGGAGATGGGACAGGAGCCCTAGGGACTTAGAAGATAGATGAAGATACCAAAGCTCTACTATCAAAAGGGTATCAGATGCATTGCTATAGTACTGCTCCCTTGTCCGTTCCGCCCATTTCGTTGGTCACCGGTGCTGCATCTCCACTCCATCCGTCGAGACGGTCCTAGATCCGTCGCGAGAAGACAGAGCCCGGGTCTACTGACGTTCGACCATTAGAATGGTTGACCTGGTGCCCCGGTTTGGGGTGTCTATTGATAGCTCCCAAAAAGAGGTGATTTGGGGTGTCGATGAATTTCAGCCGTGAGCTGTGGAAGTCGAATGAAATCTCTTAGTCTTAGTCTAACATGCCTCTTATATACGGCTCCCGAGCTTATGGATCCAATATACCTGGACGTAGAAGGCGATTGGACCCTCCGGGCGCCCATCATCCCTCAGCTCGACCAGATCGATGGCCCTTGTCTTCCACCTCGCTGTCCTTTCATTTTATATAAGTGATCCCCAGATCCAGGCAAACCACGATGTGGGAGTCCCAGTGGTTCCAAAAGGTTCCAAAGACTAAAACCATAGACTTAGACACACCCTGGTTCCTTTTTTTGGTGCATGCCTTTCCTGGAATCCGATTTGTTCGGTTTCAGCTGCAGGTCTTGGAGGATTCGGGGCTCAAGAAGAACCAGGTGGATGAGCTCTTTGGTGAAGACATGTGAATCTCTAGGGCTCCAGTCCTGCCACCAGAAGATGTTCAATGCATTTTAGCCCTACAAAGACTATCCGACCTTCTCAAAGAGTACACTTGGAGTTCCTGGGAAGAGGAATGAAGAAGAGCTTTGCCTTTCCAGTTCATATCCTAATACATCACCCCCTTAAACGCACTACAGTAAACCCAACTGGTTGCCTGGCGGAGAGGGAACATGAAAAGATGAGGAGGGAGAACAGTTCCAAGAAGTATGGCATGCCTGCAGAGTGGGCTATGGACTTGAAGTTGAGTTAGGTTCGAATTCGAGCAATACTTCCAGAAGCAGTGAACAAGATTTGCCAGCCTTTGAGCAACCGCAACCTGCAGCAAGTGATCTTGAGCTGCAGTCTACTCGAGTCCATCACCAAAATGAACATTTAGACAAATTGCCGTTCTTGCAGGTTGCCAGTATACCACCTCCAAAGGGTTTGTCACCTCTTTTCCAACGGCTACTTCTAGATTCTAGAGGTCCTCCGCAAATTGACCTCGTTCTGCTCCAATGCGTCCTCCAACGCCAGGGCATCTAGCAACACGGTCGACCTTTCAGCTTGACCCCTGGGCCAAAAGAACAGGTTGACCAGCTTGGCCTTACTACTGGGAGCAAGGACGCTACTAGGAGCAAAGGGCATCGCTACTAGGAGCAAGGACGCTACTAGGGGCTCCTGGCCTTATTACTAGGAGCAAGAAACCAATCTACCCGACCAGTCGCTCCTCAGCATACCGACCGCTCGCGATGAGGATCGTCTTGGTGGGCGGCTCCACAAGAATCCCCAAAGTACAGCAACTCATCAAGGACTTCTTCAATGGTGCCTTGGTATACAAGGTCTCTCTCGTGACACCATGAGATGATGTAGACAGTCAAAAAGACTCAACTAGTTGACAGTAGAACAATGGTCGGGAAGCACCATTAGTAGATCACTAGATCAGATGGTTGGAAGCCAAGGGCCTTATAGGCCCTATAAGGATTGTATGGCTACCTCCTTGCTATTTTTTTGGCAGGTGGGGGTAGGGTCGCCAAAGAATTATGCAATAATATACTGTAATGTAACGCTAGTTCTTGACCATGAGCTGAGTCTATCAAAAAGCTACATAATTATACAAGGACACTCAGGTGTACCATGGTGTACCCCAAATATTACTAAACACGAACACTGACCACCCCCAAATAGGTTTTTGAACATCTACATGTTGAAAGATTGATAGAGAGACAAACAACATCAAACAACTATAGATCATGTACAGACGCCAAAGCAAAGAAGTATATTATCATGTTTTGTTCAGATGAATCAACCATCACATGTCTTGACTCTTGACCCGTCGAGACGCCCATCATCAGATGACCATGATGAATACGAGTTCTTTCACCGCTGCTTGTTGTCCAACATTCGGTGATGGTCTCCATGACGGCACCATCACCGAGCAGAAAAAAGAGATCAAAGGCTAACTTCCCAGAAAATCCCACATGTCCAATATGAAAGCCACCACAACATCAATCAATTGGTACGTCGTATTTGAATGTATTCTTATGTTTTGTTTTTTTGAACAATCATCAAAATTAAGCCCTTGTCAGAGGTGAGGGCAGAGACCAGTAGTGAGGTGGCAGAGTTCATTTCAAAACTCAATGACGCTGACAGGAAATAAACCGTTTTAGATTCGATGCCCAGCATAATTGTTAACAGTATGTTCAATTTTGCTTAAGCAGGTGCACCAAACAGTCAATAGTTAAGTTTTGTTCAATTGACAACACCCTATTAGGTAGCCAAATGAACTATAAGAAACAAGAATGAACCTTCCCCACCTAAGAATAACCAATTCATTCTGTGGAGGTGGGTGGGAGTCATTTGTGTTTGAGTACAGCGGTATTCATAGGATTAATTCCACTTTTGTAGGCTATAGGTTCTGTGGCAAACAGACCATTGTCTCGAGCCTTGCCCTTGGCATATACTTTGGGATTCGAATCGAAACGAGCCATCGGCTTCTTTCGTCAAATCAGTGGACAGTGGACCACATGTTCCTGTTTTCCCTCAACAGATTGAACACCAGGAGTGTTGAACGAGAGCACAGCTGCAAAGTTGAGTAGCAAGTAGATTGGAACTTGGAGTATGAACCTGCTACTCAGAATGAACTTGGAGTATGAACTTCCAAGCTGAAACTTGGAAGCAGAGGCTCGTTTTGGCTGGCCTCTTCAGGGTCCACCATCCGCAGGTAAGGAACCCAACCGCGGCATCAACCCCGACGAGGCGGGTCCTTGGCGCCGGTAAATCTACAGTTGTTGGCAGTTGTTGGACCATGTTTGAGGTATACCTGAGGTACTTCAGACGTCTACCGCACTTTTGAAGCAGCTGGCGGACTGGAACAAAAAACACGCACATGCCCAAGTTGGCTCAAACCTCGGTAGTCTGCATCTCGATGATATTTTTATGACATTTTATGACATTTGTATCCTGTTACATTCGCATGTTTGAGATCCTGAGCTGCTAAGCTGGTGCAAGCACGCACGCACGCACGCCATCCCTTCTGGTGTCCCAGGCCGTGGCCTATGGCGCTGCAGTGCAGGCAGGCATCTTGAGCGGCGAGGGTGGACAGGACCTGCTCCTGCTAGATGTGACTCCCCTGACCTTGGGCCGGGGCCCTCAGTGTGACTCGCGGATGTGACCTGGTTGGACTGGTACCCGCAGGGAGCGGTCGAACGAGTTAGGCTGGGCGTCGCCCATCTTTGGCATTGCTTGCTCTATTTGGCATCTCAAAGCTACCTTTGAATAGGCCTAGGCTTCGAGCCAATTTATGGCATGCTGTCATTTTGCCATTTTGCGTCTTGCCTTTGACCGAACGGATCGAAGCTCCACGTCCCCTCCAGCTCTCGAGGCATTGAGACGGTGGGCGGCGTCATGACGAAGCTGATCTCGCGCAACACGGCCCTGCGGTCGCACGGATCTGTGCACGGATCTGTCGCGTGCATGGACCTTGGAGGGCCTGGGCTGTGGTGCCCGATCCCTTGGTTTCATCGTTTGTCTTCTGATTTCTCGTTTCTTACTTGGCCTAGGGTTCGCATCATCCTGGAATGCGCGATGGGATGCCCGATCCTGGACAAAAGACACGTTGAATTTGAAGGTGTGTTTTTCAGCGACTGAAGATGGATGGGAAGTGGTGAAGTGGGCGATGGGGTTTGCACCATGCGCCGAACTGCGAGGTCGAGTCGATTCCCTATGGGGATCCACTGTCATCTTCAAAATGACTTCCGCACCCTCGTGCCTACAGGGCCTACAGCCTACATGTTTCAGTGTCGAACACATCACCTGCTCAGAGGGTGGTCCACCGTGATGTGTTCGAAGGTGTTCAGAACCTCTGAACATGTAGGGGCTCCTGGCATCGCTACTAGGAGCAAGGACGCTGGTCCTGTTTGTGCAGAGGCGTCGCATTTTCCAGGATACAAACGAGTCGTGATCAATGAACGATTACTGATTACTGTAGTGCATACGATAATAGATCAAAGTCAAAAGTCGGGCGTGGTTTCTTTTCTGGTCCATGAAAGAACGATGGCTTCCACATTTGATCACCCCTAATTTGGCAGGAACCACCCTTTTGGATCCTGGATCCGGAACTTCTGGTACTGGAAGGTGATGTGTTAACCCCCCTTAGGCTAGACCATGCCGTACGACACTGTGGGTGCACTCTCAGACCGACCCTACTATAGTTATATCATGTGATATATATACCCTCTTTATCCCTCTTTGATTCCAGTAGGGGATTCTGGTGATTCGACCAAACCACTAAGGTCAATACCATGTTAAACCTGTTGCCTATATTATATAGATATATGATAAATTGAATAAAGACAGGCAGGGCAAGCTACTGATTAGTCCATGGGAGACCACAGGAGACCACAGGACACGAATCCAGTGGATCAAGTGATGCTCGATCTGTTCATGTCTCTAGGCTTAGAATGGACCCGCTCCGAGTCTATGAGGGCTGGGCTCGACGGACGGTTGGTTTCCGGGATCAGGACCCTTCACCCAATAGGTGTTCCTCCCGTTCCGTCCTTCACTGGACGACGATCGGCCTTCTCAACTTCAGAAGGCTGAAGGATCTGAAGGGCCTCGCGTCGAGGTCATCCCAACGAAGAAGTCCCAGATTTTCTCCACCTACCAGGACAACCAGCCGGCGGTGAACATCCAGGCGCGACGCGGAAACCGACCGAAGCTTGGAGCGACGCGGTGTTTCCGACCGAAACGAAAAGGGGCGTATTGGCCTTACGAACGGAGCAAGAAGCGGAACTAGGAACCAAGGGGCATCGCTACGAACGGAGCAAGGACGCTTGACTAGGGATCTCTTTGGCCGCCCATTTTCGCTTCAGAACGGAACAGAACCCCCACATCGAGTTCGGCTCGAGAACAGTTTACGTAGTACCAGCACCCAGTTAGGGTGGTTTATAGACCACCCTGACCCCTGGAGATGTATTTTGGCCAAAGGCATAACCACCCGATGTCCATGGTGTTGGGATATGTCACTTGTATTTTGCTGAAGCGCTTCAGTCGTAATGTGGTCAGTCTTTGCATTGGGCCCACAGGCAGAGATCCTTCCTTTCAATCAAGATATCACCCGTTCCATCTCTGTCTTCTCGATCTTCTCGGAGGTTCACTGTTTTCGGAGTGGCCAAGGAAAGGTTGTTGTTTATCTCGGTAACAGTGGTCAATCTGGAGGTTGCCCAATTCTTGGAAATGGGCATGCTGTACACCTGGACATACCTGGACCCTCCATTCATACCCATCCAGAAAGGCAATAAATGTTAAATAGGATTTAATCAGATCATGTCTCTGGTTTGGTACTTTCGAGAACATGTAAGTAACCACCCTGCAGAGTTTGGAGAAAGTCGTCGCTTTCCCAGAGGTTCCGGATTCCACTTAGAGGTTATAAGGGGTGTCCATTAACCACCCCTGGTGGGTCCTGGTAGAGTCGGGTGCTGGTAGGAAACATCTTGCAGTCCGGACGAAAAGCCTCGCCACGTGGACGCACATCCGAACCGCGCCAACCCATGCTACGGTGCTGGACGCATCGCTGTTGTTCATCGAGGTCTATGAAGGGGAGCGACCCATGACCAAGGACAATCACCTGCTTGGCATCTCGGATCAGGTTTTGTGCTCAAAGGAAGGGACCATGAAGAGACCTGAGAGATGGAGACTGTATTGGAGGTTTCGGGGGACGTTTTCTGGATGGCTTGGCTTGATTGTGCTTGGTTAGTTGGTGATGTTGGTGTGGTTCGTGGGAGTGTGTGTTTGGGTGGTTTGAACATGGAATGGTTGCACAAAGGGCCCTGTCATGCGTGGGGCTGAAACCAATTCATGCTGACTGAATGCTGACTGGACGCTTTGGATTTGTTGCAAGAGTTCTCTCCTGCACCACTTGCGCCAACTGGTCAAGAAATGGGAACAAATATCATGTGTTGATCCCCATTGGAATGTCCTCCTTGAAATGGGTACCCTTAACCCACTTAATAAGGCCTTTAGAGAATAATGCATTTCATAGCAATCGATGGTGTTGATATGTGTTGATGACATCTACAAAATGGTCTGCCCAGACCCTCCTTGAAATCCTAATTTTTTGACTGCCGTTGGGCCTCCGTTTTTGGGGGGGTCGTAGCGGTCGTACAGAACGATCCCTTTTGGTTCATGTTGTCTCCCTTGGTTGGTGGCCAACTCTGGTCATTGGGCTCGTACTTCTGATGAGTCAACCTGTCCCAAATGCTGGATGGACATTGCCCGCTCAGAAGGACGCTAACTCCCGGTTCGCTCCTTACGGATGCCCATTTTTTCGGGCTCCTGGCCATCCTCAGGTTGAGACAGACTCCCCAAAAAGGAACCCGCTCCATCCAGCGAACCGCGTGTTGGAGGTGGGGACAGATGTACAGCGGGAGCATGAAGTGTCCTACAGCGGCTCAGGGTCGGCTTTTTCCGGTCCAGATCTAAGTCCGGGGCCGGTCTCTTGCCCTGTCGACCTCACGGTTGATCCGGTGCTTTTCGTCTTGTCTTAGACGTATAGAAGTAGTTCGGCGGTCTTCCCATCGACTTGAGCATGCGATGTCTGGACCTGGACCTCGAAAGGACCTGAGAGGGAGGTACGAATGAAGATGTCCTCATCCAGCACCCTTCGGGTGGTTTGATGTACTGTTGATGTTCTATTTTCTCTCCAATGACCACCCAAAAGCGTCTTTGTGGGTGTGAAACCCGAGACCACATGGTCCCCTGTCTTAGGTGAGAAAGCTCACGAGCTGTCCGACTGTCACTCGTCAACGAGCTGTCGAGCTGTCCATGGCGCCCCAAGCGCCCATGCCGAAACAACCCGGGTACTGTAACCAAATGAGTCCAAATGGCTTCGCCTCAGGAACTGCCAATCTCAAGTCGTGCGGCCGTAAGATGAGTGTCGTATAACGTCACTTGCCGTTTTTGGGGGACTTCCGCTTCCTCTTCAGTGTCGATTCGAAAAGGAGTAGTTCCGCCCCCCACTGGAGCGACGTCACTGAGGCAAGTTCGAGCTCGGTGGGATTCCGCCCGCGCCACGTGGGCAGCCGCAGATCGAAGTGACCTTCGAGATCGCCGCTCGGAGCTGCGGAGCAACCGCTTTACTGTAGCCGCTGTAGCCGGGGGAAAAGGAAAAAAACCACTATAGATTCACCCATTACATCCAATTATCAGCTTCTTCAAAGTGACCGAACTGGAAGGTTCCCTCTGGAATGTGACCCGTTTGACGGGTTCACTTTGAAAACCAGGGAGACAGGTCTAGTATGGAGCACAAACGAAGAGAACGAACCAGCACAACGGTCGACACATGTGTTTCTTGCTTTGACCGCCGCGTTTGAATATTTGGACCAAAACGACACCTGAAGAATTTTCATGGTTCAAGTGAGTCTCAGGGTCAGAAGTGGTGGCACCAGATGGAGAGTTTGTGCTCGAGAGAGGGAGAGAGAGAGAGAGAGAGTCAATTTTGGGTAGGTGTATTCAATCGTATTCAATAGCGCAGAACAACCTGGGTTTGTTTTCCACATGTGGAGACGTAACCTCCCAACCGATGTATGTTGATTCGTGTTGATCCAAGTTTTCCTTCATCAGTCATCATATGCGTGAGCTAGAGGGCTCGAGTTCTGAAGAAGATTGTAGAATTGCAAAAACCATGCTTTCTGTCAGACTGTCGGACTTGCAGTGAGAGTACTGACAATTTGGGGTTCTTCGGGTAAATTGCACAGTGACAGATTGCCGTGGTAGTTTGTGGTGGATTTTGTCCGTTTGCTTTGTGGAATCACGTGGAATCCTCAAATACTATAAAGCAAAATATACATTGAGGGACATAAACCAGCACCTTCCAGCAGGTTAGCACTTGAGACGGGGCCTAACAACCCTTTTTAGGAGACCTGTTAGGGTGCTGGAAGAGAGAATCTCACTTGGCTAGACTAGACGCTTAGAAGGTTTCACCCGGTCTTCAGCTGCGGGACAAAAGTCCCGCCAAGGACAGCAACGGCATCCTCAACGTCGGTGCCTCCAACTGTTTAGAGATGTGGGAGGCTTTTGCACGGGTGGTTGCGGCAAACTGGTCAATCTGGATGCCTTTGGGTGCCAAGAAGGAGCCGACTCCTTTTATAGTTTAAAACGCAGACGCAGAGGTTGGCTCTGATGTCACGCGGGCACTCACGTGTGCACGATGCACAGGATCCTCATGGCATGCCTCGAATCCTGGTGCGAAGTGGATTCAATAACGACACATGTCACAGGCCGTTTCTTTATGGCTGCTTGTACCCTCCAAAGGGCCCTAGACACCTTATTTAAAAAGAACCGGTGCTTGCATACTTGCACCCATGTTCCGAGGTACTGTGACGCGAAACAGATGTCGACTGGCATGTCATCACTACCTGTCAGAGAGCGCGTAACGGGAGCAAAGACATCGAAGCTTATGGGTTCAAGAGCCGTTCATATCTAGGTGAGCACATCCTGAACACGCTGCCATATACCTGTTTCTTCAAGGTGACCCTGGTGCTCTTCGCCGTTGCTTCGGTCACTGAAGCCTTTCGTTTGGGTCACTTGAGAAGGTACCCTCAGGTTCGGTCACTTTGAAGGAACTCGTTGGTGTTTTATTGGTGTATATACTGTGTCCAAAAAGGCTCCCATACTGTACTTGTGCTTGCTGAACAAGGGGTCCGCCTCGCTGCCTTTAAAAGATCGAAGGCACTCGGAATACTTCCAAAAGGAGCCGGTACTCACCCTCAGCTAAGAGAGCTGAGTATAGCTGGGTGATAGCTGAAGTTTCTTGTGCTGTATGCAATGTACCGTACTGGCTGCTATAAATGCACCCCAAACCACGCCTCTGCACGCTGCACTCCGGCAGCGGCTTGGGGACAGCCGTCCGCACCCGGCCGCGCCCAGGTGCAGAGGACAAAGGCACCGGAAAGAGCGAAAAGATCCTTGGCTGCGAATCGGGCGCCGGAAAACGGGTGGGGAAGTAGCTTGCACGCCACTGGGCGAGTGAATCGGGCGTTTTTTTGGGGTGAGGACGGAAAGGAATAACTATAAATCTCCTTCTCTAAGCATGTTTAGAAGGGCATTGTTCAGAATTGTGTACTCGATTGAAGGGTGATTCAGCATGTTTCTATAATCAGTGTCTACCGTATCCCTCTACCACAACCCGGCCCTTCGTTTGATCATCAGCCTCCGAGGATCACCATCACCAACGACAAGGGCCGATTGACTGAGGAGCAGATCGAGAAGATGATCCGCGAAGCTGAGGAGTTGGGCATTGCGCAAAGTGGAGGGGCCCAGGTTTCGGCTGAGTGGTCAGATCAGTTGTTTGTTCAATTACATAGGGTCCAGGTATCTCCTGAGGATGGTCGAACGGAGGTGAAAGTACTTCCAGAGAATGGTCGAACGGGGGGTCAGAGGACATCCTCAGGATGGTCCTGGACCCTTAGGGAATTACATGGGGCATGTATGGATACGAACGCTGACCTCCAACCCCCGTCACCATCCATTTCGTTTGTCGAGTGTTTGTGGTGTGTGACGCACTAGAACGGCAAGACGACATCGTTCTACCCTTGTGTTTGGTGTTCTTTGCAAGCTATGAGCCCACATGTATGCACATGTGTATATAGACGGCGCCTAGTAGGGCTACAAATGCCTCTTGCAAAGCTTGGGTTTGTGTCGTTTGTGTCCAGGGGTTGCCCCCATGCTCCAGTACTTTCACGGTATTTACCATGACTTGCTTCCCCGCCCACGTGTTGTTGAGGGAGGTTTCGCCAGCCACTGGGCGTGCGCGATTGGGCATGCAAATCCCTTGTAGGTTGACATGCTGTTGATGTTCTGTGGTCAACCAGGCTTCCCTAGTTTTGACCCACACCTTTGCTGGAGCCCAGAGCTGGAAGCTTGGAGCAGTTCCGAAGTGCCACCGCAGAAGTCGGTCACGGCATTTTGATGCCCAAGATATCCCAAGATGTTTTGGTTTTTGGCTCCAAGCTGGCCATGAGACCAAGGGGAGTGTATCTTTGGGGTTTATTGGGGCAAACAGACTGAGCTAAATACCTTGGTGATGCTGATATGTCCTAGACTCAGACCCTCCAAAAGTAACCTAGAAATGGTACTGATCCCTATTTAAAAAAACAGGTACAACGGTACAACTGCACTCATTTTCCGAGGTACGACCTGAGACTCCAGGTTGTTGTCTCCCCACCCAACATGGTTGTCTCCCCATGTTTTCATGATTCGAGTTGTGTCCTCTTCCGACCGGCGCTGTTGGGCCGTCACTGTAGGGGATGTCAGACCTTCCATTGTCTTGGATCAGGAATCAGCATGGTGCAGTACGTACTTGCTTCGCATCCCCACCACCTGAGACTCATCCCTACCACCTGGACCAGACATCTCGGTCGTACCCTTGAACATAAAACATGACCCGAACCGAAAACAGGCTGAGGATGGCTGAGGTACTTTGAGGTTGGTTGCTTGCATACACGAAATGCCCAGATCTCGACTATAGGTGTCCCGCAGAGTTGTGTTATGCTGTGTCGATCGGGCGAAAAAACGGAAGCTGATTCCGGGTGTCAAGGTGTTTGTTGCGGAACTCTATTCCCCTGAAAGTAGGGAAGCAACGTGCTTCCAAAGACTCAATGTTTTTGCGGTATATGCTGTTAAGTTGCCAACTTGGTTTCGATGTGACACTTGATTAGGCAACTTAACAGCATATGATTAGGCAAGCCGATGATTAGGCAAGCCGATGTGGAGTCCGGAGGTCAAACCCGAAGGTCGTGTTGGACCTTCGACCATCAACGCATCCCCCCAGTCGCGGCGAGACGCGAGTGTAACACGGTTCGCTGATAGCATGGTTTGATCCCACTCTCTCTCTCTCTCTCTTTATCTTTCTTGACATTGACACTGTTGTCAGGAGTTTGCGGATGAGGACAAGAAGGTCAAGGAGTGCTGCGAGGGTTTTAAACACGTTTGTTTGCACCTCTTAAGGCAGATGTGCACTCGGAGCAGGTTTTGGTGGAGTTTCTGGTAAGACACATCAAAACACATGTGTACTGTTCATCCCCAACGGTTGAAGGGTCTCCCTGTCCTAACAGATAACCATGTAAAGCATTAAGTAAAACATGCAAGATCCAGACACTCCCTGAAATCATGGAAGTGGAGTGAGTGAAACCGCCTATTTGGTCTTCGGATTGAATTCCTCGACCCGAGGAGTTAGACCCTCTTGCTGCAGGTGTCTACAGCTGTGCTTTCATTGTGGTTTCGGTTTTAGAGGTTCGATGGCACAAACCACCCCAAGATGACAGCTGGGGGGTCCACTACTATAAATATCCATCAAAACTTAGACATTTGTGCCGGATGACTTGTACCAAGCACTTTCCGAAATCGTCGACCAAACTGGGGGCCTCGACTTCAGCCACCGCACAACTCGCCGCAGGAACGCGTCGACGCGAAGAACGCCTTCGACGGCTACATCCACTCGATGCGCTCGGCCACGGAGGGCTCCGGCGATAACAAGGGCCTCAGTGAGAAGATGGACTCGGAGCCTTGGACTGAATACGTATACCCTCCTATAGGGATCCAGTCGTGGCATTCTGCGTACTTTGACCATCAAGACTCAAAACCTTTTTTACAGATCATAACAGTGTCTCCAATCACCTGAGAATGTATGTACAGCTCTCTACAGAGTCGAGATGAGTCGAGAATGGCTCGTGCCTCGGGACGGGGGTCGGGTACAGTCGTCCCTGTTTTTGATTTGGGTGATATCCCATTTTCTATCATGTTCTAATGTACGAACTGGAGGGTCCAGGTATCTTTACGGGGGTGGTTTTCGGTTGATGAGTTCCCTAGCTGGACCTGACTTCAAGTATCCTTATAAACATTGATGAACATGGATCTTCAAATCAGCAAAAGACGTGCTCGATTTATTCAACCTAGTATTGAAAAGAACTCTGCGAGCACCAAGCGAAGCTGAATGAAGCAAGATATACTCTGCAAGTCCAAAGACCCAGTAAAACCTGTTTTTTTATCCTTAAGCATATAGTTTGTGCATGACCACGTCCAGTAAAATGATGTCATTGACCTGCAGGGATAGTTATCCGGAGTGCGCTAGTGTGCCTTTTTGTACGCTTGTTTGCTGCTTTGTGCGCTCGTTGGCTTTTAGAGCTTCAAAACTGCTCAAACTTGAGTCTTTTGTTTTGCCTCCGAACCCAGTGAAATGAGGTCCTTGACCCGCTGTGATGCAACATTATGTAACAAAAGCTATTGCCCCAGATTACAATGTCAAAAACGATTTGTCGATGACGTCATCGGGGACTCAGTGGCAATCTTTCCCGGCCCTATCTACTCAGTTGGCACATCATTCTGGCACATGTACGAGCAATGGGCTGTTGGTTTCAGGATTGAGTGGAATTTGGAGAGACACATTACTGCATGATGCATGCATGTGTTTTGTTTGTTTTCTCCTCAGAGTATGATAGTATGACTCCAAAGGTCACTACACTTTGATCTCGTGTATGTCAGGCAAGCACCTAGTTCTGAATCGGATAACATGTTGTCCATGTCTGATTGGACCAGACTTGGGGTCCAGTAGAATGAGATAGAATCTGAGTAGAAGGACCTTCAGAAGACCAAGACCAGTCAGAAGGATGGACCTTTTTTCTCCTGAAACAAGGCGTTTGAACACCTTCACCAGCCACCAAAAGCAAAAGCACTCCTCGGTCCACCAGCTGGACCCACCGGTGTTCGATCTTCATTTGCAGCAGCTTCAGGATGAGAAGGAGAAGATCCTGGACGCTCTGAAAGACGGCCAGTCCTGGTTGGACTCCAACCCTGAGGCCGATGCTGAGGAGATCAAGGAGAAGCACAAGGAGCGGCGGGGAATTCGTGGTGCCGGGGAGCCGTGCCGCTGGGAATATCATAAGCACCCCCAGGTTCTCCCGTTCTTCCCCAGCTTAACAGGGACCTGGTCGTACAGAACAAGACTGGTACAGTCGTTTGCAGCAGTTTGCAAGTGAGTGGATGTGACAGGGGCACCCAGTTGGGCACTCTTATCCTTCCTTCCTCCGTTCACACGGCACCCCGACATGGGAACTGCTGATACTACCACACTTGCAACATCCAGGTCTAGTGACTAGTGTTTCATTGGGAACCTTCGGATCCAGGTCGTTCATGGGATCCTTCTGATCACATGAAGAAACCATGTTCCGGGCCAAACGATGTTTCTTCCACTTCCAGGGTTGGTTATAAGTTATACTATTCCCTGATGGCGTTTCTTCAGTCCCCGCAGAGAACAGTCCCCCACGCAGGTCGACCATGTTGGTCGACCTTCTCAGGAGATTGAAGGAATCTGCGCGCCCATCGTGTCCAAGTATTATGGCGGCGGCGGTGCGGGTGCTGGAGCCAGCGACGAGGACGAGGAGGAAGCGCATGATGAGCTTTGACCCTTGGGAGCCGAAAGGCGGTGCCGGCAGGGTTTCACGGGGTTGATTCACCAGCGACGCGAGGAAGCCGGGACCTTTTGGAAAGGACATCCCAACGTGTTGCAAGGTTCTCAGGTCCTTGCGTTTGAATGCGTTTGAATGTGTTTGAGGTCGCGAGTCAACATTGTCGCCCTTATTTTACTGTCACTTGTGTGACTTGCTGAGATTGATCTACCACTTGCAAGGTGATCAACCAAGCCAACATTTATGGATCGAAGTCTTCCAACCTCGCTCAAAGTGTTCTCCCCCTACTGGTACCCGTTCCACAAGGGCTTCTGAGTACCGTGACTCGCCTTGCCGGTGAAAACCCGAACCAGGACCCCTAAGGAGGATGCCTATAGGGCCCTTTTTGGGGGAGTCTAGCTCCTATTATAGACCCTAGGGCTCTAAATACCTTGTAAGAAGGTGTTTGGGGGTGGTGCCAGTAGGGTCCAAATACCAGAGGAGGTACGCCAGGAGCCCTAGGGAGGAGAGACCCAGACGAGGACTCGCTCGACTACTTGATCGAGCACTCGATGAGACTCTCCCCCAAAAGAAGAAGCTTTGGGCGCTCTGGGTCTACATGTTGGTCATTTGGTGCCACGGACCTCATCTTCTTTTGGCGTGATTCAACAAGCAATGGGATCAAGGACCCTTTTTTCTTGGGTTTTGCACCTATAGCCTATAGCGTTCTTTGGTTAGGGGGCAGGTGCTGGTTTAAGGTTGCATTCGAGTTGTCCTTGTCATCAGTTTGCCTTGCTCCGACCTAAAGAATCCTAAGTATGTTGAACAACAATGTTCCACACTAATTTTGTGTGGCTATACACAGTAAGTGGATAAACTGTACGAACGGCTGAGCGTTAGGATCCCTGCTTTGTTGAAGAGAATCACCTGCTGAGTGATCATTTCTCATCACCTTCCAGACCGGGCTGCTTTGTTCAGGTTCCCAGTGTTTGAATCGTGGGGGAACCCGATGGAAGGCTCGGGCCGGTGATGGGTCTTGGGTCTGAACGGTCGCGCTGGTCGAACCTCGTGCTGAGGAGTTGATGCTTCACCGAGGGGAGAAGGGTGCTTGGTCGAACAGCGACATGGCGCTCTCCAAGACTCTGGTCTGAGCCTGTGTCAACTGGAATTCAGTGCAGCTTTGAAGCGACTCAACTCGTGCGTTGGCACGAAAAAGACCTGGGCAATGCCCACAGAGAAACCTCTGTGCTAGCAGCTGGCGCGGAAAAAGATACACTTGCAGCTGTGGTATCGCTGTTTCCTGCACCTCGTAGTCAAATCAAACCTCATATAGTCAATCATAGTTCAAAAAGCTTCGCACCCTATAACCATGATGTTCCCGAGGTGTACACCTGTCTCGCGAATCTCTCGTGCCAGATCCATGCCGGTTCATGGCTTTTCTCGGACCACACCCTAGCTCTTTCCCCGGGAACATACTGCAGGGCCTGGTGACTTAGTGGCCCGCCACGGCCCGCCTGGTCCGTCCGGACCCTGTGGACGGCCTGCGACCCACGGATCGCTTCGTCTGGATCCGTGACCTTTGGAATGGTTCCTTTTCGTGACCCGTCTTGGAGGCGTCCAGTGAGCGAAGCAACCAGCTTAGTCAAGTACAGTCCACGAACTGAAGAACCAGGTTATCGAGACAGATGAGACAGTTGAGTTCGCCCTCAGTTCCTTTCAGGCGTCCTGTCAGTTCGGCGTCCCGCCCTGACCCCCGGCTCGGTGCAGGTGGGCTGAGAGCCAGGCCTGAAGAAAGTCTAGGGAATATGAGGATACTCCCTTATAGTCCCTAATGTAGACTCTTGATTAGTACATCTCCCATATGAAGAGGATGTTCAATGCTTGTCCAAGAAGGGATCGTGTGGGCGCGCTCGTCGTGGACGGACCGCAAGTTCGCTCATTCAAATGGCTGGGGCTATTAATCAAGAGTCTACATTATATGGATGCACGAGAAGGTGATTGGAAGCACTGTTTTTACATAGGCATTAGGCATGGAGTCCAGTTGTACCTTGTGAGAAGGTGAGAGTGGATCTCATGAGGTTCCAAGGCACTTTGAGACACCTGACCTTTGTTTAGAAGGTGCTGGTACAGATCTGTTTGTCCTTTCATTGCATCCCCATATGGGTTTGGAGGGTCCAAACACCTTCTGAGAAGAAATGTGGCACTGTTCTTTTTCCTTTGAGCCCTACCGGCCAGCCATGATTCAATGATGTCCTGCCGGAAATCCCAGTTCCGGCAGTCATCTTGCTGAACATGACTGATGACTGGATGGTGGTTTCAGATTATCTATTTTGGATATCATTGATCCCACCAACTGACTAAGGTTTTGTCAATTGGGTTGAAACCACCAACCAGATGTGAGGTCTTCAGTTCCGTCACCATCCGACCTGAATCTTGTCAGATTCATTCTGTGGTCCCTCGTGGCAATGTGCTCACTGAGATCGCTGCGCGATTGGGACACACCAGGTTCCAAACCTCTATGACTGTTCTCCGATGCATTCTAGAACATGGAATAATATGACCCTACCCACACACTCCATGTATGGAATATATACTTACAAACCACCCCCAGTGTAGGCAAATATGACAGTCCCGTAGAGTATTGGGCTATGAAAGGCATGATTTGGTACTGTTTTCAGGTAGGTAGGACTGCATCCATCATCATCCATCCCCCACTTTTGCTTAAAACCCGGGTGACGCCAGCTCTATCGTCACCAGACTTCGCTGGTCTACCTTGCACTCGCTGTGTACGAACGGAACGCGTCGGCGAAGTGGTTCGATCGGAGGAGCCAGCGCAGTGGCAGGCGGAGAGATGGTGGCAGTCGCCTGCAGGGAGATGGCAGGGCAGGAGCCTCTCAGCCTCAAACGTCTGGGCGCCTGTCGTCCTCATGTCTATTCCTGGAAGACGTTTTGTAGGGGGTTCACCCATGAGGACTTGATTGATTGCTTGGAGGACTGAAGCGTGGAAGGAGCAATGCGACCAGATCCGGAAGAACCAATCTCCAAGAGGGGAAGTAGACCAAAACCTTTGTTGGGTGTCTCTTATTGAGATACACCTCCATATAGAGCAATTATGACACATGTCACATGTCACATATTTGTTTGTTATTCTGAATCTTGTCGAGTAGACTAGACGGTAGAAAAAAATCGTCCAATTTGCCAGTCCATGTCGATGATATGCATCCTGGCGGGCACGAACCTTGTCTGAACATTTCACCCCATAGCATGATGCAACTGTACCACACAACCATACTTTGGGATCGCTGATGGCCTGCGAGAGTGCAGTTGGATACTCCTGGCGCGGACGCAAAAAGTCCATGGCTCCAGCAGATGCTGCGCTCGCCGCGCTCACCCATGCTGGCCGTTGTGCAGGTGTCAATCCTTGACCGGCCTGGATGAGGTGGGTATGACTGGAGAGACTGCCTTTCTTACGGTACATACCTGGAGGCTGAAAGTACCTCAGAATACACCAGAAAATGGATGCAAGTACCTGTCTTTATAGGGTCATGTCTCATTTTCTAGGGTACTTTGGAGCTCCAGCTAGCCTGTCTTTGGGAGGATCGGGTTTGAGTTCTGATTTCAGAACATCCGCACTAAAGTAGTACTGTAACTTGCTGGCGCGCTCCCCCACCAATACTACTAGGGTCGGCGGATATACTGTACTTTAACTGGTCCAAACTTGTCAATGCGTGAGTCTTGTGTCTGCAGAACTGAGGTACTTTATTTGATTCAAGCTTGTGCGTGTGTTTTGGGTCAGCTGACACATGGGTTACTGGCGAATTCCCTGATTCACGTGCTTGAAGCCTTGCAAGCTTTCTATGTCATACGTCATACGTGTAGTCTCTGGCTGAGCTGATGGGGACAGCCAGAATCAGCTATCGTGCTAACGTAGCAAAATGAGACGGCCTCACATGGAACATGTTTGTTGATACAAATACCCAGGTAAGCTGTGAGGCATAAATTGGATGAGGGATGACTTTTTGGAAATCTGCTCCAATCAATTTTCAGGAGTCGGATCACACACCTCCGGGCTGTAGGTGTACGGAATAAGTCTGTGGCTTTGAAGTTTTTTTTGGTTCAACGTGGTAGAGGGAATGAATAGCTGAACAGATCATATGTCATATATGTTGCAATATCCATGTTTGAGACACAGCCCAAATGAAATCCATTGAAATCCTATATAGAAAAGAAAACCACCCTCGGTTAGAACCATGGTTTATAACATGTGAGAGATAGCATTGGCTACCAGCTTTTCCCTTTGCTTGGTAGTTGTGGAAATTGATGCTGTGTGTAAGCATTGCATTGCAGTTTGCAATAGCATTCTGGAATAGCAGTGGCAACAATGCCATACCGTTACACGTAACCTTGAGTGAAAGCACTGCTGTATAGACATCAGAGACGGAAGTCAAACACAAACTTCGTTTGGCTCAAGTGTGAGAGGAAACTTGTGCGGCAGCCTGGGTCCGATCGCTCGTTGCATCGTATCGTGACTTTTGCTGTACATTGCTCACATTTGGAAGCATATATACACAGATCTAAGAATCTACTGGTTATCAGCCGCAGCCGAGACACCCTGAGCTGCGGGATCGTGTCAAGAGAGAGACCAGAGAGTGCACTGAGAGTTCAACTCATTGTCTTGTAGATAAGGGGTCGAGTCACAAGGTCCAAGGACATAGTTGTTGATTGATCAAGACCAAGTACAACTACATCTCTTGCTACCTTGCTCGCGCCTTCGCGCGAATGGACCGCTCGCGATCCCCCGCAGCGGCTGCTGATCGATCGCGACCCCGTGAGAGACGGGCTAGGGGCGGTGACCCTTTTCGCCCTTCTCAGAGAAGGCGTGAGCGTGTTGGACTTCAGGTGGAGCATCGGACCAGAGGTTCTTCGCCCCCGCCAGAGTCGAAATACTACGCTCGTTCAAGGCCAGTTGAACCGTCGGGTCCACCTCCAGATCGTCGGCAACCGCGTGAGCCGGCGAA